CTCAGGCATCTTCTCACCACCAACATTGTGGAAGACCAGAAAAGGAAGCCAGTTTAATATGCTTATACATAATCCCATCTTCAGAAGCATCCCTGGAATTTCCCTCTGTAGAACTTTTGCTTTTAATTGTGGTAGTTAACTACCACCAGAGGGCATCCTCAGTTAAAATGCCAGCTCCTTTTGTCCTTGAACGAAATTTATTTGAGGGAATGGGGTGGAGGGTACATATGCGTAAAGCCGGAATGCCATCACACACATCCCCGCCCCGTTCAAACAAGCAAATCACATGTTCTTTTTGCCTTATTTGACTGAAGTCAGCTTGTCTGGAATTCAAAAACGGAATGGAAAGAAACCAAGCTACAGAAACAAATTTATGGGCATTGTTTACTGGTGGTTGCCAATAATTCACAGGTGCCAAGAGTGGCTCAAGAATGCTTCCTGTATCCTATTCACTTCAACAGAGCTTGTGCAGGAGTTCTCTTTCTCCCATATGAATAAACCAGGGATGTGCCTCCAAACTAAATGTGCTGACTTTTGCTACCACCACAGGGGCAACACTGTGTTTTCCTTTTAAAAAATGAGATGCACAAAGAGCATGTGCCATGTTTTAAGGTACAGCCATGTTCCAAGAAGCCACTAATGTTCTGCTGAAACTTAGCCCAGAGTGAGTTTGGAGTTTCAGTGCACCTTGCCCGTGCCAAAAGATTGCCTATCCCAGGTGAAAGAGGGGTTAAAACTGCTAATAAACTAGGCTCAGTAGGAATGCTGACAGGCAGATGGAAAAGGCAAAGAGGGAATTTGGATCTGCTATCTTAAAATAAGCCGGCTGGAACACGGGACAGGAGCAGTCCACCCTGCAATGTTTTGCTGTGGCCCTGCATTCTGAATGTTGACTTCCCAGAAAAAGCTATCCATAGCATGCTTTAAAAAGTACAGTTTCTACAAAAGAAATGAAAGGTCAGTTTGAGTCACAACAATTGCACAAAGGACCTTGGAGCAAGGGAGGGTCTGTGATCTTGGTAGAAGGAATTTCAGAGGGGGCATCATGTTAGCCTGTTGCACCAAAACCCACAAACAGATTTCTGGCAGCATAGAGATGAACCAATTTCCTGTGGTGTGAGCCTTGGTGGACTACGCCCACTGCGTCAGAAGCATAAAGTATTATCCTGCATTGCAAGTATCTATATATGCACATGGTTGGGTGGAGGAATTGTAAACAGTGAAGTCAGATTGCTTTTTTTTCCCTTTTGTAATCATGCTACATGGATTAATCAGGTCCACAATGCATGGTTGTCTGTGTTAATCATTCCATATCTATTTTGTGAATGACCACTGTCTGTTCTTTCTGCATATTCATTTCTCTCTGACCTCACTGTTTCCCCCACCCAATTTGCTTTTGGATTGGTGGGGATACATGAGCTCAAATTCCCATGCAATGAATGGAACAGCTGTTTGAAGGTTGGCTTAGTCCAGGTCTGGTTTAAAGGCAAAGACGTATCAGAGGAGAGAGCCTAGTATCAGGAGTAGAGCTTGGAAACCTTGCTTTTTGGGCTACTGCCTCCTAGAATCCCCTATGCTGGCTTGTCCAAAAAAGTAACATTTCCAAGCACCGATCAGCACAACATACCAAAGAGACGTACAGCTCACCTGCTCACAGTCTTTCTCAACCTAACAAAGTAAATTGGTTTCCTACGTACTTCCAATTTTCAAAGAAGTAGCTACGTTAGTCTGTACAAGAATATCAGATCAGAGAAAGAAGTGAGGCACCTTAAAGACTTGTTGCTATACTTTAATCTGAGCTTTTGTGGATCAAGTCCAAGGAAGTACACTTGCCCCAGGAAGGCTCTCATTATAGCTGCACAGGATTGCAGCTATGACACTGTGGAGCAGAGCAAAGTTTATGGGGCAAATCTAAAAATGTGGCAGTGCAAACAAAAATATATAACTTTGAAACAAATTTGGCACAAGTATAGCAGACAGTCTGCTCTTGCTCTGTGCCAAATCTGGGGATGTTTAGACAAAGGATTTTTTACTTAAGATTTTTTTTTTAAGACAGTATGAATGTCAACAACACCAATGGTAGCAGTCAGCAGTGGCTGCCAACCTGGGATACCTCAGGTGTTCTTAGATTGTTATTCCCAGAAGCCTTCACCACTAACTTTGCAGGCTGGGGTTTCTGGGTGTTGTAGCCCAAGAACACCAAGGTTATCCAAAGTTGGGAACTACTGAGCTACCATTATCATTCACATTTGTCAAAAACAACAGCCCTTACAATTGCTTTGTGTTTGGGTGAGAAGTGGTTAACTGATGCAAAAAAAAAAAAAAGAAAGGAATTTTCCCTTGCTTGTTATCACTTTGTGAAAAGTACTGAGCGTAAGAAGGTATCAGTAGACCATCTTCATTGCTGCCATTGGTGTCGTCAACATTCAGGCTGCCCTTTGCTATGTAAAGCTCGGCATCCTTTTTCCTGCTGGCAATGTAGACACAATATTGAGCAGCAATACTGGGCCATTTCCTAGCATTTTGAATCATAGATACAGAAGCACAATATCCCACATTCATAAACCAGAGGTTTGGGTACTGGCTGATGTAAATGTACTTACTTAGGTCTTCATGTAGGGGGACAAATATCAGAACAACTAGCACTGAGGGATGAAAATATCTGGGGAGGTTGGGTGAGAGCAGTGATGTAGTGTCAAATTTCAAAGTGTACATGCTCATCATATCAGTCCCTGCTGCAATGATAGTTCCAATATTCCAGGAGTTGAATGGTTCCATGTCAGCAAAGGATGAACATATCAGCACAAAAATGAATGGTTCTTAATTGCCCACTGAAGACCAAAGGACCCTGAAAAACTTTGTGTTACAACAGAGATGGCTGTTCCCATTTCTGTCTCAGCAATTGTGAGGACTGCAACCCAGATGAGAGGAAACAGAGAAGCTTGATGGTCTGGCAGATGCTGTTGGAATCCCTGCTGCTCAGAAAGTCCCAGGACTTAAATACAGTGAGCCCAGGTTTTATCAGACGTTGTATGTGAGGTGGCTTTAAAGTCTGAGGGTTCCATCTCCACACATTCTCACCTGGCATCAGGGTTCACTGGTCGAGTGCAAAGGTGTTTGTATGTGTGTTGTGCTGAGTGCAAAGGTGTTTTTATGTGTGTTGTGCTTGTACAACATCAACACACCCAAAGGCCAGGTATGGGGTGAGGCAGCTGGGGTGGAAAAAAGCTGGAAAGGTGCAAGCACCTCGGCATGATTGTTCATTGACAGCAAGAAAAGGAATGAAATGCCAGAATGCACAACTCAGGAGTGAGGGGAAGAGAGTGAGAAGAACACTCTTCATGGGCTGGTAGTGTACCTAGCAGCAGCAGCAGCATGAGACCTTCTCACTTCTCATTTGTGCTCTAGGTAAAGCCACACAGGACCTGAACCCTAAAAGGAATAATGGCAGCCATTGCATCTACTATACTGCATGTACTTCACTCCAAATTTGACTGACAAAAACTGTTTTCTTTCCTCCACACATATTTATTTATTTATATTTATTTGTTTAGTTATTTACTTATTTATTTGTTTGTTTGTTTATTTTCTTTCCTCCACCTCTAGGTTCATCAGATTTACCTGGATTCTGGGTAGTAGAGACAGAGGACCCCAGTGGACAGCGTGTGTGAATCCACTCTGGCTTTGACTATGAATTTTACAAGAGAGATCAAAGATGTTGATTCTGTTTGGGGACTAGAGCTCCGTGATTTGAGTAGCTCTTGTAAACTACCAAATACAATTGGAGGTAGATTCATCTCCCCCCTAAAATTAGAGTCACCAGTTAGTTGCTACTGATTCTGGGCCTCT